TAATTTTATAAAAAAAAAAAATGTTTACTTTGTTTTTTTAAATAAAAATTTGATCTGTATCTTATAATATGTCAACTTGTTTGTGCAAATGTTACCTTAGGAGGTATGACAGAGGATTCTTCACATGTTTATATGCATCATTTTGTAATTTCAGATGATCATTTGTTCTTTCGTTCTTGTGTTCTATAAATAATGTAAAAACAACAACCGTTTTTCCCCCCCACCACTTCCGGTTCAGCAACTTCCGGTTTCCACCACTTCCGGTTTGGCTTAATGTAATTGCGTTTTCCTGAAATGTAATTCCATTTGGTTTTCAAATGTTGTTAATTTAAACCTCAGGGTCATCGTACTTTGCACAGTTTTCCACAACCTTTAGGATCTGTGACACTTTGAGCTTTTTAGGAATACTTAAAACGTTTCAGCCTAATTTTAGTAGTTTTTTTAAACAAGGACTGATTATAATCATTGACTATTTTTAGCTAAACAGTCACTAGAAATGGCATATACCTAAAATAATTAATTGTATCACAAACCTAAAAAGGCTAAAGTTAGCTGGGTGTAAAGTTGTGCTGGGAACAGGTGCCGATTTGAGCTCACGTGTTCTGGACAGAGATGCTGGTGAAGGTGGCGAACAAGGAGAGACAACAGGTACTGACAAACGCAGGCCTCATCGTGTTTTGTGGATGTTTGTATTAATTTATAATAATCGGACACATTCACTAAAGCAGCAGACTTAAATACAACTAAGTCTAAACGTTCATTACTTATCAGAGGTTCCCAACCCTGGTCCCTGAGGAACACCATTTTAATTGTTCCTCTGCTCCAACACACCTGATCCAGTGATTTAATTACTCCTCAGATTCTCCAGAAGCCTGTCAATTACGCATCCATTGAAACCAGGTGTGTCAAAGCAGTAAACAACTAAAACGTAGAATGGTGTTCCTCAAGGACCAGTGTTGGGAACCACTATGCTTTAACAGCTTTGCTTCCCAATCTAGGTCCTCGGGGTCCACTGTCCTGTACATTTTCTGTTTCCCTGCTCGCAGCTGATTGAAAGGCTCCAACTAAATGACCCATTCATTTAAAACAGGAGTGTTGAAGCCAAGAAACCCGGGTGCCCGTCTTTGTTCCTCAGGGGCCGTTACCCTGCCTGCTTTAGATGCACCTCTGGCTCGACAGACCTGATTTAAATTGACGCCTATTAATAATCTTCTGCAGAACTTGATGACCTGTTAAGAAGGCAATTCATCCATTTGAATTAGGTGTGTTGGAGCAAAGAAACAACTAAAATGTGTAGGATGGAGTCTGGGCCCCGGGGATCACTGCTTAAGGTTTTAACTTTTAGGGCTGCGTGACAAAACTGAAAGTGTCTTTAAAACAAAATGCCAGATGATCATGTGTTTGATACTTTTTATTGCCCATCACTGGATTCTGCTTCAGCCAACTGACCATAAAAAACACTGATACCACCGTAAACTATGGGTTTGTAGTAGCTGAGACTCATCTTCAACACATATTCTGAGTGCTAAAAGATTGTTTGATATTTGTTTAAAATCTGGCCTTTAATTGTTTGGAGTCAACGCTCTCCATTAGCAAAATATCTCAAGAATATTGGAACTTAATTACTGAATGTACGAGTATGACTGGTTAACGTTTGGAGCCAATCCAGTCTGAGATGGTCGTCACAGCCCAAAAACATAAAAATGGCTATAATGCAGTATAACTTGTTTTTTTCCCCAACTAATTTGAGTTTAGTTCAAAATAAAAACTAAATAACTTTAGTTTAAAAATCTGGCACGAGAGGCGGTGGGCAACATGCATTCCTTCAATGAACGCATGGTATTAACAGAAACCCAAGAAAAGTCATGCACATCTAAAAATGGAATGAACCCTTCCACAAAATGGTTTTGAATATTTTGTTTTGTGTAGCGATATTTGTCCCATGTTGTTTAACGTTTGATGCACATACTGAGCATGTGCAGGTTAAATTGAACAAATCTACCAAAATACGTTGATAGAATCCTTTATATAGTCTGGCATTAGATTACTTTAATAAAAATGCTATTCGTGACAATTTTTAATAAATTTGTTTATTTATTTAGATTTGTGTCATTTATCCAGCTGTAATAATATCATTAATTAAGGCCTGCCTTTGCCGATAGCTAATTGAAAAATGTTTTAATTGTTTTTTTTGTTATTTTCCAAGCAACATTTCAACTACCGTATTTTTCGGACTACAAGGCGCATTAAGCAAAATAAGTACATTTTGACAGATTTTTGGGTGTTTTGTACCACAAAAAATCAGTTTGAGGTCAGTAAGCACAACCAGAATTAATACATACGGTGCACCGGATTATAAGGCTTACTGTTGATTGTTGATAAAATTAAAGGATTATAAATGCGCATTATAGTCGGAAAAATACGGTAACCCTCACACCAACTTTTTATTTAATTTCAAAGCACCAAACTGTCCATTAAATAACTTATCCAAAAGCCCTAAAAGAAACCTCATGAAAAGAGGACGTGTTTGTTGTGTTCAATAAATGTGAAAGCTGAAAACCACTGGTGTTAATCTAAAACGAGATGATACTACAGGCCTGCGCGTTGATAACTATGTCCCCGTTACCACCATTGATTCCTATCCTGAGACAAACTGAGGACATACTGAGACAGTAAGGTCAGCAATTACAGACAGAATGAAAATAAATTACTACCAAAAATAAATGGTACACTTTAAGTAAAGTTTCCCACTATTTACAACCAGTCACATTCATTTTCATTGATCCAGTTAATGTAATATAATATTAAAATGATGCATTATATTTGGTCACATGACTTTCATGTGCGGGTCAATAAGGGGGTTTGGGACACATCTCAGACAACATAAGGCATGATTTCTCTGCTGAAATGGAAACACCTGATAAACCTCAATTATAGAGGTGGAGTTTATGAAAAAGAATACTTTTTTCCAAACTAAAATGATTTTATTCTTCTAAAACTTGAGATCATACACAGTAAACATGTCAGAGCAAATAAATAAAACAAGTTGGCCTCGTATTATCCTTACGAACATTAAAAAGCAGAAACATTTAAGATATTTCTAATGAAAGGGGCTTGCGAATCAAACATATTCTTTTTTTTATTTATCTAAATATAAGCTGCGTCACTCTGTGTTCTTCTCTTTTATTCTTGACAACCACCAAAAATTCAGCACTTGAGGAACGTGTTGTGGAAAATATATAAAGTAAAAATATGAAAATTGATGAAAAAAGTTGATGCTATCTTTTTTTTTTTTTTGGGTCCATTTTTTTCCCATTTCAAGACTTAAATCAGAGGGGAGAAAATATATATATAAAAAAGTAATGGAAATGAAAAGAAACTAAGAAATGTACAGAAATACAGTAACTTTGCATTAACTGCCATGCTAATAAGACATTTAAAAAGCTAAACAGGCAGAATGAACATTATTTAAACAAATCAAACAAAAGGAAAACAACAAAATTCATTCCCACATCGGAGACGGTACTGCATAAAGAGGAGTATTGTAATGTACATGTCTTACTGTGCATCATGAAGGCAGTAAATCTGTGACGTAAAGCTACATTTCAACCAGCTTTATCTAGACAAAAGCACTACAGAACTGAATCTGTGTTTAGCTAAAGGAACTAAGGCAAGACGTCTTAGGCAGTGGTTCTCAAACTTGGGTCCCCGGACCCACAGGGGTCCGCGAGCTGGTGCTTGGGGGTCCGCAAAAACAGGATTTTTTTTTTTTTTTTTTACAAACACGTAGATGTTTAACAACCCTTTAAAATACACCAAAAATGCAGGAAATCACATCTATTTCAACAAAATTTTCTGGGGGAGGACCCCCAGACTCCCTCGCACCCGCTGGCCCGCTCACTATTTACATTTCAGCATTTACAAATTAAGCCCTGTTACTTGGTACTTGTTACTGCTGCGATGATTCTGTTCAGTTTTATGTAATAATTTGAAGAAGTGGCGATACAGTAGTCCCTCGTTTATCACAGGGGATCCGTACCCTGAAGCCCCGTGATAAGTGAAGAACTGTGAAATAGGAATAGTAGTACAAGTAGTAGTTTACATTACATATACATATATATCTATATATAGATATATATCTATATATAGATATATATGTGTGAGTATTAAGGCATTCTAAACCCTTCCCACACTCTTGCAACATTCTAGCCAATGTTTATAAACATTAAATGCTCTAAAAGAGCACAGGGCGTCATGAACTCAGCTCTTGGCCACGCCCACTTCTCCGCTGCAGAATTGAGATCAGAGGAGGAGCTAAATAATTTAAAAGAATTCATTTTAACTAAAAAATTCCATGCCCGATCGTGCAGCTCATCATCAATCAGCCAATTAATGTGTGTCATGTCCACTCTTATTTTGAAAAAAACGCGATAGAGCGAGTCCACGAAATATGAACTGCACATTATTTATGTTCTTTGTGTGAATAGGTAAAGTTTTAAAATGGTTTTTGATGCTGCTAATTTTCTCAAAACTGTAATTTTTGGAAGTTGTTAATTAAGTGTGTTTTGAATGGAAAAATACCCCGTGTTTAAAAGTATAAACATTGTATTAACACTATTAAAGAACAGGTCTTAAGCATTTATGTTAAACAAATATTTCCATTGTATTAAAAAGACAAATTGAAGAAAATTTTTTAATAAAGACGAGGGTTATGAGGGGGTCCCTGAAACTTTTCTCCCCTGTAAGGGGTCCCTGAACCCAAAAAGTTTGAGAACCCCTGGTTTTAGGAATATATTCCTGGTCGGAGGACACAATAAAAAAGTGACCCTTATTCTTTTTTTCTAGATGCTTTTTGTTTCTCTAACGCAGCGGGGTGTGTAAAAATGGTTTGAGATTTCAGTGACTGTGACCACCTCCCCTTTTAAAATTTTTTTTTTACCTGTAAATCCCCAAACCCCGAACCCCTCCCCCCGATGCCAACTGCTGTCTTCCACTTCTTCTTTAGGTACGAGGCGGTTACGCTTTACTCTCGTTGCCGTTCGCCTGAGGAGCCTCGTTGGGAACCGTCTTCACCTCGGCCGTGGTGTTCTTCACCTCCGCCTCGCTTTTGGTGTTATCGTCCTTCACAGCCTTACCACTGTGGGCAAAAACAAAGGAGTAACGACACCAAAAAAAGAAAACAAAGGACATTTTGTTAGCATCAGTAAGTCTCTCTTTCACAGCCCAACCGAGCTGCCTTTTGTGTCGTTCTCTCAAAGATAGAAGGGAAGAATGGCGGGAAAACAACAAAAAAAAACATGCACACATCTTTGACGGAATGTGTTTTCGCTCCTGGAACTGAATGCATTTCACACATAATGGGATCAAGCTCTGTATCCCAGCCAGACATCGAACAGGAGTACATGGATGTCACAGCTACTTTCAAGGAACAATGGATGCTGATGGGGAATGACACAGGGCCAGTACAGTAGGCACAATGTACGGGGAGAAGGCAAAAGCTCCAACACGGGCGACAATACACAAGAGGATTACATGCCATCTGGACTCAGCTGAGCTCAGACACAATGGGGGGAGAGACTTTAAAGCCATGCATCACTCGAGCGCAATATTTCTGGCCTTCTTCCAGTTTTTATCAGTCTGCGTCTCGTCGTCTCCCTGTCAGCTTCTCTGCTTAGTAAACTCCTCTGTCCCGCTGACAAACTACTACATTTAGTGCGCCTGGATGCTGGATTCTTCAACATATCCATCCCAGACCACGTTTCCAGATCTGATCCTTGTTGTTAATTAAAATGAGTTTGCAGCCTGAAGCTCCACCAGCATCTCCTACAGTCCTCTTTTCCCCCTCAGCAGGCCACCGTTTCACAGTTTGAAGAATAATTGAAGCTTGAATACTAAAAAAAAAAAAAAAATGGTTTGATGAAAACAGACAGATCTTAGTTCTTAGGAGATTAAATGTTGTCTGCTGAGTGTGTGATTATTAAGCAGCTTGTTTGTATATAATGACCTGCTCCCCATATGGCGTCATTGTCCGGACACCTTTAAACTGAGGATGATTATTTCAAAGTTTGGTCTGAACGTTTAAGGAGAGTCAGGGAAACTCAAATCTTCTTCATCCTTCATATGTCTGTAAACATGCAATAACTGTATTTACTCTATGCTTGAGACCAAAGAGTGCAGATTTCATACAGGCTGCTTGTTTATTTTGAAAAATCACATCTAACCGACTGACCTTTCACAATTCATTTAATCTAATGTATCATGTTTCAATATAATTGGATAAAAGTGACTGTGCATTTAAATCCATGTTGAATTGAACTGTAGATGTTCTGCAGATAATCTAATAATCTGACCTATTTTGTAGCTTGGTCGTATGAAAGCACGCCTCGTCCCATTCGATTAAAGGGAAAGTTCACGTCAGTAAAGCAAAATGAAAATCTATCTACCATATTTTACGGTGTATAAGTCACACCTTTTTGCATAAATTTGCAAGTCCTGCGACTTATACAGCGAAGCGACTAATATTTATTTTTCCCCATATTTATAACCCAATTTTTGTCTGAGCTCTGACGATTTCATTCATACTGACATAAAAAAATATTAAACATTACCATTTTCAACTGCTAGAGGGCCCTCAAGCTTTATGGCAAGCCAAGTGGCTCATTAATAGGTAAAAGTGGCTATTAATGAGACATTTGGCTTGCCATTCAAAGCCACATTCTTCTCGCTCCAGAACTCCTGGAGTAAACGTCAAATCCGCTGCATTTCGCCGCGCCGCCCAGGTGAAATACAGCTGATTTGACCATTAAAGTGCATTTATTAAGGAAAAGTTCAACTGAGACACACCTTTGCTTTAATGTTGAGCAAACAATTATTTTTAAGTGTCGAGTCGAGACGGTTCTTCTCGTCCTGAGCATTCCTTTGCATCGTTGACCTTGCATTGACCTGCATATGACAATAAACCTAAACCTAGCTTGTCCTTAATAATATAAAAATCTCTCAAGGAAACCTCTCCAGTCTTTATGGCACCAAACTCGACATCAGCTTTGCTTAAAATAACATCTGAACATGGCTGATGCATTGTAGAAAAGCTCTGTGGACAGGAAAGTTAAAACAGAACTTCCTGAAAAGTTTACGAACTGTCCAAATACATGATATAGTAAATATAAAAGTTTATTTTTGAATTGATTTTTTTTGGAAATATTTGAATCCTTTGTTCAGTTTTGATTAAAAAAACGATACCTTGGAATAGACACTTTGATTAAAGGTGACAACATTTTTACTCGCCAGTGTATGTGATGAGCAGGGAATACGTTTACAGATTTTAATACCTCTGAATAAAAATAAATAAGCCCGAGGAGGACGAAGCTTCTCAGAAATCCAATAAACCCACAAGAAGTCTGACAGGATGTATCAGTGTTGGAGCACTAAAGAAGCAGAGATCAGTGCGAGCACCGCGCTTCAGTTCTGTCAGAAATATGAAGAAAAATCCTTCCAATGACAATTTTGGTTTTATCAAACTGATTCTGAGCTGACAAGATCCCTGCATCCAACTAGCTCTAAACACATCATCCCCGACGTCTTCCTAGGACCATCTGAGGGAGCACATGAAGAGACGAAGAAGGCCCTGAAAGAGGAGTGACTGTCAGTGAGCCTCTGTAATTCATCTTCTGCCACGGAGTTCTCGTCACCTTCACAGGCTGTCAGGAATCAGGCATGTCTGAGAACTCCAAGGACCCAAACTTTGAATGATAATCTCAAACACTTGAGCCAAAATCACAGTTTTACACACAAGAAGACAGCAGTGAGGGGAGGTTTCTGAGCCTGGCCTTTAAAACCAAAATGCACTACAGTAGTCCCTCGTTTATCACGGGAGTCCCATTCCTAGCCCCCCTGCAATAAGTGAAAAACTGCAAAGAAGGAATAGTAGTACAAGTAGTAGTATGTAGTAGTTTATTTTATATATATATATATATATATATATATATATATATATATATATA